CAGAGACTCGGAGAAGGTGGCCTATTTTTATCCTGACATTTTTGTCCATCCTCTGAATTTCATCATGGGGAAGAAACAGCAGTTTGTCTCAGAGCAGCTCAATTTCGATCTCCAGGGTTCTGTGTGGGTCTTCACAGGAGGAGAAATGACACTAAAGCGACGGCACAGGCACAAGAATTCCCTGGTGCAAAATTACCCACAAAGAACATAGGAAAAAATACCTGCACTTCAAAAACTTTATAAGAAATCAACATTTATTGAGTGCATGGTTCTTTACATTATTGACTGAACAATAAGGCCTGATTTTTTTTTTGAAAGCCTCAGAGTAATGCAAAAAAAAAAAAAAAAAAAAAAGGCAACAAATCCTAGAAAGGAGTGGCTGTATACTTCCTTAGGAGCTGTGTGGCATTTTTTTTTTTAATCTAAATCACACACTAATTCTCTACCTTATCACATTGGGCTTCCAAATAAATGTATGATTTCATCAATGAAAAGTGAAAAAAGAAAGAAAGAAAGAAAAAAAAACGTGAGAGTTAATTTCTGGGCACTCTGTTCCATTTGTCTACACTTCTCTGTTTTATGGATAATAAAATGAAGACTGATGGAGGAGCCCATCATTTGGCCAAAGTCACGTGATAAGTGGTGGTTAGACTTTAGTTTGGAGGAAGGCACCCAGGACCTCACCCTGTTCATGCAGGGACATAAGGGAGCCCAGAGGGCACATCTGACCTGTCCTCCCCTCCCACCAGATGACACTCCAGGCCAACCAGACTGGGCCTCACCTTATTTTAAAAAGGGTCCCAGTAGCTGCTCACAGTGAAGAGAGCTTTAAGACAGCAAAGTCCCTGGAGAAGGAAACAGCTTCAGGGTCTGATGGCGCAGGTGAAGCCAGGCCCCAAGGTCCAGGGGGGAAGCCGCCAGTTCCTGCAGAGCTGGTACAAGAAGGCCGGGGAGGCCTCCACCCCAGGCAGGAAGTCAGAGAAACCTACTGCCTGAGAGCAGGTCCATGGAGGGCAATGCCTCACTCTTGTGCCAAGTGCAGCAAAGTTCACCTGACGTTTGTAAAATAAGCAACTCAGAAACGGAAAGAAACATCTTAGAACCCGGACAGCTTATAGCCAGTGTCTCACAGATGACCAACGATACTTCATCCATTTAAAAAAAGCCCCCCCCCCAAAAAAAAGACCCAATTCTATAAGAAAGAAAGAATACAGAATGAGAAATGATTCCTAGAAATTAAAAATAGAATATCTGGAAGGGAAAAAGCTAAAGAACAGAGAAAACTCTAGGGAAGAAATATTCAAAAAAAGAAGGGGGCCTGTTCCAGAACTCGCGGAGGTGGGTTAGGTGGACAGGCTGTGCTGAGCGGCGTCCCAGCCCAGGGACAGGGACCGCCCCCCGCCGGGCGCACAGGCAGTACTGAGACGCAGCAGCAGGCGGCGCACACCGGGCCGCGCCGCGAGCGAGGGGGTTTCCACCTGGAATGCCGTCACTAGCTGTGAAGGCAGACAAGGATTTCACGAAGTTTTCCTCCCAGTTCCTTTAACCACGTGCCAGGAAACCGAGCGAGAAACCCGAGAGGCCGGGTCGTGATGCGGGACACGGGGGACACTCGAGGCCGGGGAGGGAAGCGGGATGAGCGGCCGCCGCGGGTCCCATGGCGCTGAGACCTCCCTTCCAGAAGTCCCTTCTGGAGCCTCCCTTCCAGAGCTGCCGCAGGATGTGGGGGGCACGGGAGTTTCAAAGAAAACCAAGCAGATGAGTCATGTTTAGTTGGGGCTGGCGGGCTGGGCTGTGCTAGGGAGAGACTTTAGAAGAAAGGAAATAAGTGACAGGAAGTATGTCAGGAAATAAATGAGTAAATGGGCCCTCTTCGTGCCTCCTCTTTTCTGCCCCCATAGTGGGGGGTTCTCACTGTGGGGCTGTCACCAGGTACAGGCAGGTGACAGCTCCTGGCCACTGGCAGAGCCGGGATGGTCTCTGCTGTCCACACTTCACAGGCCTGACTGCTTGGGCGGCTTAGGAGGAAGGAAGGAAGTGGACCTTAGTGCTCACAGGTGGCCTCACACCTGTGGCCTTGCGCACTGCCTGTACCCCACCTACCCCTGTCATTCCTGATGGGCGGGTGCGACGGGTGCCCGACTTGAGGGGGCCCCGGGGAGTGAGGTGGGGTTTCCATGCACAGGCAGTGCTAGCTCTTAATACAGAGCTTCCCCTGGAATCATGCGCCGGCCTACTCAATGTATGTAACAACAGCCAAAGGAATTACCAAAAAAGTAAAAGTACTATATGCTTTTTGAAAAAATGTGCAGGAATTATAGAAGCTGTAAAAAGAAATTGAAGGGGCACCTGAGTGGCTCAGTCCCTTAAGTACCTGACTTTGGCTCAGGTCATGATACCAGGGTCCTCAGTCAGGCTGCTGGGTGTCTGCTGCTCCCTCTGCCTCTGCTGCTCCCTCTGCCTCTGCTGCTCCCTCTTCCCTTGCTGCTCCCTCTTCCCCTGCTGCTCCCTCTCCCCCTGCTGCTCCCTCTGCTCCTGCTGCTCCCTCTGCCCCTGCTGGTCCCTCTGCCTCTGCTGCTCCCTCTGCCCCTGTGGCTCCTTCTGCTTCTGCTGCTCCCTCTTCCCTTGCTGCTTCCTCTCCCTCTGCTGCTCCCTCTCCCTCTGCTGCTCCCTCTTCCCTTGCTGCTCCCTCTCCCTCTGCTGCTCCCTCTGCCCCTGCTGCTTCCTCTTCCTCTGCTGTTCCCTCTCCCCCTGCTGCTCCCTCTGCTTCTGCTGCTCCCTCTGTCCCTGCTGCTCCCTCTCTCCCTGCTGCTCCCTCTGCCCTTGCTGCTCCCTCTGCCCCTGCTGGTCCCTCTGACCCTGCTGCTCCCTCTGCCCCTGTGGCTCCTTCTGCTTCTGCTGCTCCCTCTTCCCTTGCTGCTCCCTCTCCCTCTGCTGCTCCCTCTGCCCCTGCTGGTCCCTCTGCCTCTGCTGCTCCCTCTGCCTCTGCTGGTCCCTCTCTCCCTGCTGCTCCCTCTCTCCCTGCTGCTCCCTCTGCCCCTGCTGCTCCTTCTGCCCCTGCTGCTCCCTCTCCCCCTGCTGGTCCCTCTGCTCCTGCTGGTCCCTCTGCCTCTGCTGCTCCCTCTTCCTCTGCTGTTCCCTCTCCCCCTGCTGCTCCCTCTGCTTCTGCTGCTCCCTCTGCCCCTGCTGCTCCCTCTCTCCCTGCTGCTCCCTCTGCCCTTGCTGCTCCCTCTGCCCCTGCTGGTCCCTCTGCCCCTGCTGCTCCCTCTGCCCCTGTGGCTCCTTCTGCTTCTGCTGCTCCCTCTTCCCTTGCTGCTCCCTCTCCCTCTGCTGCTCCCTCTGACCCTGCTGGTCCCTCTTCCTCTGCTGTTCCCTCTGCCCCTGCTGGTCCCTCTGCCTCTGCTGCTCCCTCTTCCCTTGCTGCTCCCTCTTCCCTGCTGCTCCCTCTGCCCTTGCTGCTCCCTCTGCCCCTGCTGGTCCCTCTGCCTCTGCTGCTCCCTCTGCCCCTGTGGCTCCTTCTGCTTCTGCTGCTCCCTCTTCCCTTGCTGCTCCCTCTCCCTCTGCCCCTGCTGGTCCCTCTGCCCCTGCTGGTCCCTCTGCCTCTGCTGCTCCCTCTGCCTCTGCTGCTCCCTCTCTCCCTGCAGCTCCCTCTCTCCCTGCAGCTCCCTCTGCCCCTGCTGCTCCCTCTCCCCCTGCTGGTCCCTCTGCCCCTGCTGGTCCCTCTGCCTCTGCTGCTCCCTCTTCCCTTGCTGCTCCCTCTCCTGCTGCTCCCTCTGCCCCTGCTGCTTCCTCTCTCTGATGCTCCCTCCCATCCCTCCCCCTGCTCATTTCACTATCAAGTAAATAAAATCCTTAAAAAATAAAGTTAAATAATAAAGACATTGAAGTTCACTTATAACCTGTTATTCACCCAAACCTTTTCTGTGCATAATGCATGTTAGAAAAGTGGATCAGGATGCAAATGCTGATTTTATTTATACTCAATACCTACTGTACACTGCAGTATAGGTACAAGTTGCTACAAGTAAAAAGAATATGAAACCATTTACTCAGCCTACATTTCTGAACCCCTGCTCTGCACTGGGCGAGTGTTCCTCCTGGATAGAGGTGCAGGAAGTGGGGAGTTGACCTGCTCCCCTGCCGTAATTTCAGGGGCAATGTGCACCAGGAAAGATGAGCAGGAAGGGGAGACCCACAGCAGTGGCCTTGGCTTGGGTGGGTCTCCTCTCTGAGGACACGGGTACTGGTTGCTCCCCTGTGAGTGTCTGGAGAAGAGCATTTCCCGGAGGGCACAGCGAGTGCAAAGGTCCTGAGGCACACAAGCCTGCTCCTTCAGGGCCCATGAGTGCGTCCAGGAAGGGAAGGATATGGGGGGCTTCTGAGGATCTGGCTCGGAGCCCGGCGGGGGTCTGGAGCAGTACTTTAGTCTGTGACCGTGGGCGGGCGCTGCAGCCCCTACAGGACTGGCTGCGGGGATGAGGGGCCGACCCTGGAGACCACCCAGGGGCTGCACGTGGAATGGGGCCGCGCGAGGGCTCTGGCGCTGGAGCGGCTGGCGTCGGGGGCCCCCAGGCGCCGGCCGAGACCTCAGGTTGCGAGGGACGGCTCGCCGGGGTCGGGCGCCTGGTGGAGCCGGGCAGGGCCCAAAGACCCTCGCGGTGGAAGGGAAGGGGCGTCCGCCCGGGCCCAGGGAGCAGAGGGAGGCGGAAGGCGGCGCCCAGCAGGCCCGGCAGGCCCGGCGCGTCGCGGTCCGGGAAGCCGCAGCGGCTGGGGCGGCCCCGGGCGGGCCCCTCGGCGCCGCGGGCAGGTGCGCGTCCGCCGCCGGGCGCAGGCCGGGCGCGTGCGGGGCTCGGGCCCGCGGAGGGGAGACCTCGGGGCCCGCGGCGGGAGGCGCGCGCGCGCCCCCTGCCGCCCTCCGCCTCCCGCCTCCGCCTCCCGCCTGGGTCGGCCCCGGGGCGGGGCGGGCTCGCGTGCCGGGTGGGGCCGTCCTTCCGCGGCCGCCGCGGTCCCGGGATGCGAGCGCCGGCAGCCGCGCCGCCACAGCTGCCGCGGGTGCGCCTGAGCCTCGGGTAAGTGCCCCCGAGCCCGAGCGGCCGCGCCCGCCCTCCTCCGCCGGCCGGGCGCGGCCGCTCACCTGACGACGAGCTCGCGCCTCCGGGCAGGGCAGGCGCTGCGGTCCCCGCCTCTGCCCCCTGCGGCCGCCCGGGCCGTGGCCCCGATGTGCGCCCCGATGTGCCCCCCGAGCGGCGGCGGCGGCGGCGGCGGCGGCGGCGCGGAGCGTCCCGGCCGGACGCGGGCAGGGCCCGGGCACTGGCCCCTGAGCCTTCCCGGCGGCGGGGCACGAGGCCCCGGAGCCCGCGGCACAGCCGGGCCCCTCTTTCCCGGGCAGGGCGCACGGGGCTTGCTTCTCCCACCGGGGAAGGGCCCAAGGGCCCCGGGCTCCAGGAATCGGCTCGGTTGCCCTTAGCGGCACCAAGAAAGTTGTTGTTTTTCCCAAAAGTCTTCGTTTCAGGGGCCCCAAATCCCAGATTGTGGATACTCAGTGTGGCACAGACAGGCGGTGACCTGCTGACCCTGCTGTTCCCACCGTGCCTCCCACGGGGGCAGGTGATGGGCCAGCGTCAGCGGCCAGAGGCCTTGGGCCACTCTTTGCTCCTATCTCTTTGGAGGGGTTGGTGCCGCAGACATCTTCCCTCTTTGGGAGTGTCCAGCGGCCTTCAGGGTTGGCTGCCCCAAGTACCATCATCAGGGTGGGGGAGGTAGCCCCCAGGACTTACCCGGGGCCTCGATGTGGCCAGCCGCAGCTGGCGCCAGAGAGGGTACTTGAGTGTGTGCCTGGGACATCTGTGCCCAGGGTCTGAGCCCCTGAAAGTCGTGTGTCTGGACTCCTGGCCTGGTCAGCAGCTGACTCACCCAGGGCGCTCTCCAGGCCGCCTGCGGTGGACGCAGGCCCTCAAGCCCGGACGTCTCCACCCGGGGTCGCCATGAGGGACCATGTCTGGCTTCGGCCGGCTCTGGGGCAGCGGGGACAGGGAGCCCCTGTCACGGTGTTGGTGGTAGCTCTTGCCATGAGGAGGAGATGCTGCGGCGGTGTACAGGCTGTCCCTGTTCCTGGTGTGTGGCTGGCGGGCAGCACAGCCCTGAAGGGGACGCTTTGTCACGTGCTGCAACCCCCCAGCAGCCTGTGGCTGGCGTGCACTGCGTGTAGGGTAAGGACTTTGAGGCAGGTAACTGCTGGACTTTGGACTCAGACTGAGCGTTGTTGCCCTCCTACTCTGGTCCCAGAGCAGCACATGCCCACGGAGCCCAGTGGGGGGCTCAAACTCATGACCCTGAGATCAAGACCTGAGCTGAGGTCAAGTCAGATGTTTTACCCACTGAGCCACCCAGGCACCCCTACAGAAATATTCTTACAAAAGCTCGGGTTTCTCTGCAAAATGCAGTCAACTTAGAGCTTAGCAAGGCTGGGAGCCCCATCAACCACCCTGCACACCCAGCTCACACATGTGTGTTCGCAGGCCCCTGTCTGCCGCCCACCCCAGCACTGTCTGTGGTTGCAGGGGGGACCCTGGCCCAGGCCAGTCACAGGCCACAGGAGCCCAGTGGAGAGGGTCTCCTGCCTCCATTTACCAGCGAGGTGTCTGCCACCTGCATCAGAGCAGACACCTGTGTCCTGCCTCACAGGGGCATTTCCTCTAGGAGTTTGGTCTAATCCAACGGAGGCTTCATCTTTTTGAGGAAAATTAATGGGGATTTAGTAAAATGGAGCAACCTATTGCCATAATATCCGCCCACATATAGGATTCCCGGGGCGGAAAGCTGAGCACAGATTGCCCCCCACACCATGTTTCTTCAGCAGGATCTGTGGCAGTGGAGGGGGCTCAGTGTTTCTTTCACACACGCCCCAGAGAGGGATCCCTGGGAGCCTTTATCTGCCCTTGGTGTTTTTAGGGTTGTTCTGAGTGCTGATATAGAGGTGCCACGGGAAAACGTGGCTCTATGGGGCAGGCCGGCAGTGTGTGAGGCTGGGAACGGGCTCACCTGGAGCCCAGATCCTGTCACAGCACCTGCTTCGGGTGAAGGCTAGCCAGGGGGTCAGCACCACCCCATCCGGGCTGTCCCTGCCCCCCCCACCTTCTCGCCCTCACCCCTGCACCATCCCTTCTCCAGCTCAGTTGGGCAATGGTGATGCTGGGGCGTGGATCTTCTTCACCTTTGACCTCATGGGTGACTGTGGGTTGCTGAGTGCCTGGCCCCTCATGGGGTATGGGGAGACTTCCATGGCCTGCCCTCCCCTAGGCTGGGGCCAGGCCCGGGATGTCTTGGCATGCTGGCCTCTAGCCACGGAGGGTCTGACTTGGCTCCCCAGAGAAGTGCAGGCCTGGTGGCCGTGGCACAAGACGAGGCTGACAAGGCGGAAGCATCCATCCATCCGTTCCTGCTCCAGCCTACGGCCACCTCCCTCCCCGGCCCCGGCAACTACTAATCTACTACCTTCCTCTTCTGGACTTTTCATATGTATGGATCCAGCACAGGAGCTTTTGCGTCCGCCTTCCTGCATGTAGTACATCTTCAAGGCCATTTATATGACAGCGTGCATCAGAGCCCGAGCCTTCTCAGGCTGGGTAATACTCCATATGGGCATAGACCCCACTTGGTTTACTATCCGCCAGTTGACGGGCTTTGGGGCTGTGTACACTCTGGCTGTGGTGAAGACTGATGCTCTTGAGCATTTGTGTGTCAGATTCTGTTTGAATGTATGTTTCCAGTTCTCTTGGGCATGCACCCAGGAGTGGACTTGCTGGAGTGTCTCTGCGTCTAACCCTTTGAGGATCCACTACTTCCCCACAGCTGCTGCACCATCTTCCATCTGCACCAGGGCCACAGATTCCAGCTTCAAGTCCTCACCAACACTTGTCACTTTTCCTTTGTTCTGTTGATAGCCATCCTAGTGGGTGTGAAATGCTCTCTCCTTGTGGGTTTGATTATATTTCCCTGGTGACTAATGACCTGGAGCGTCTTTGCTTGTGTCTGTTGACCATTTGTATATTTTCTTTGGAGAAATATCTGTTCAAGTCTTTTGCCCATTTTTAATGGGCTGTTTGTCTTTTTGTTGTTGAGTTGTAAGAATTCTTTATATGTCCTGAATAGTAGACTTATCAGATGCGTAATTTGCCAATGTTTTCTCCTGTTCTGTGGTTGTCTTATCACTGACTGGATGGTGTCCTCTGAAGCATAGGTTTTTAAATTTGATAACGTCCAATTTATTTCTTTTATTTTCTTGTTTGTGCTTTTGGTGACATATTGGAGAGTCTTTTGCCTGATTTAAGGTCATGAAGATATAGCCCCATGTTTTTGTTGAGGGTTTTATAATTTTACGTCTTACACTTAGGTCTTTAACTAATTTTGGTCAATTTGTCCATACACTATGAGACAGGGAAGAGCCTCCTCTTGCATGTGAACATGTGATTTACCCATTTGTTGAGGATACTCTTCTTTCCCCATCGAATGGCCTTGGCATCATAGTGTGTCTATTCCTAGATCACATATTTGCCTCTTTCTAATGCTTTTTAAAAAAATGTTATTATGGAAAATTTCAAATTTTTAACAAAAGTGAAGAGAATTTTATAATGAGCCCAATTCATCAGCCAGCACAGATGGGCAGCTATCAATATCAAAGGATCCAGTTTCATTTAGACTCCACTCTGCTCCCCAGATTACATAGGAGCAAATCCCTGTGGTGTCATTTTTTAGGATATAACTCTAAAATATATGCACTTAAAAAAATCAGCTTTTTGCATTTTTACCTTATTTTATTTGAATTGACTTTTTAAAAAAAGATTTTATTTACCTGAGAGAGAGAGAGAGAGAGAGAGAGAGAGAGAAAGTGAACAGGAAGGAGGCGCAGTGGGAGAGGGAGAAGCAGACTGCCCGCTGAGCAGGGAGCCTGATGTGGGGCTCGATCCCAGGACCCGGGATTATGACCTGAGCCGCAGGCAGACGCTTCACTGACTGAGCCCCGAGGCGCCCACTGAGAGACTTTAATATAAGGAAGTATTAACTACAACAGTGGAGTGACCATAAAGGTGGAAAGAGGACTCTCAAGGGTACTCCGTGGAACATGCTGGAAGAGTGCACTTGGAAACGGAGGCTCCCTCTCCCCTGGAGCTGGGGTTCAGGCCTCTTTGGAGAGGGTATGGTTCATCTGCCCGGACACTGGGTGGGCAGGAGCAGAGAAGACTGTGAAGCCCCGGGCTCAGTCCCTCTGGGGCCTCTGCTGGCAGGTGTCGCACCGTGTCCCGTAGAGAAGAAACGGTGGCATTCATGCGGGCAGGGGGCCTGGGGGGGCAGTAAGTGCCCACCGGGCAAACCTCTGAGTGCCACCCCGCACTCCCACCCACGTTGCCACCCCCCTGACCTCCGCAGGCTCCGGAGCCCACGGCACATTGTTGTTCTTATTGTTGAAACAACTGTCCTTTAGAGACGTTCGAGCAGCGAGAATGGCCTGGGTCTGTCCCCAGTGGGCCTGCGCCCGTGCTCCCTCTTCGTCTCGTAGACCCACGTTACCATCTGGTATCGTTTTCCTTTGGCCTGAAGACACCCTTTCACATTTCTTACGGTGTCAGGCAGCTGGCGAGGAATCTTTCAGCTCTTGTGCATCTCAAAACACCTCTGCCTTCAGTTTCGAAAGCTATGTTCGCAGGCTGTGGCATTCTGTTTCTGTGGGGACGTAGCCCCGCCGTCGTCCTTCTCTGATGGAGCACCTGCTGTCACCCTCACCTTTGTTTGTCCACACCCAGTGGCTCTTTTCTCTGGTGGCTTCTTAGACTGTTCTATATATCCCTGTTTGTGAGCAATTTGATATGATTGGCTTTGCTGTGATTTTTTTTAAAGATTTTATTTATTCATTCATGAGAGACACACACACAGAGAGAGAGGCAGAGACACAGGCAGAGGGAGAAGCAGGCTCCACGCAGGGAACCCGACATGGAACTCAATCCCAGGTCCCCAGGATCACACCCCAGGCTGCAGGCGGCGCCAAACTGCTGCGCCACCGGGGCTGCCCTTGCTGTGATTTTCTTAATGTTTCTGTGCTTGGAATTTATTGACAAACATTGTATGTTCTCATTCTTTTGGGGAATATAAATAATAGTGAAAGGGAATATAAGGGAAGGGAGAAGAAATGTGTGGGAAATATCAGAAAGGAAGACAGAACATAAAGACTCCTAACTCTGGGAAACGAACTAGGGGTGGTGGAAGGGGAGGAGGGCGGGGGGTGGGGGTGAATGGGTGACGGGCACTGAGGGGGGCACTTGACGGGATGAGCACTGGGTGTTATTCTGCATGTTGGTAAATTGAACACCAATAAAAAAATAAATTTATTATTATTAAAAAAGGAATTTATTGACCTTCTTAAATCTGTCAGTTTACAGTTTTCATTATGTTTGGACAGATTTCTACTATTTATTAAATTTTTTTCTTGTCACCTCCTATTCTTTGGAGCCCCAGTTACACACATAGCAAACTTCTTGAAATACTAACATATTTCATTTTTCTTTTGCTGCTATTGTAAATGATACTGATTTTCAAAAATCTGTGTTCTGATTGTTCATGGCTAGTGTACAGAAACACTTTTGTATGTTGTCCTTTTACCCTTTGACCTGGATGAACTCAGTTATCATAAGAGATCTGTTGTGGTAAACTTTCTAGGATTTTCTATATGTACGATCATGCCATCTATGAGCTTCCCTCCCCAGCGTCACAGTCTGCTTTCCCTCATCTTGTCCAGATGGGCATCACTCGTGGTCTGGGTGGAAGGGGATGAAGGGCCTGTGATCCGAGGGGCAGAGCTGTGTCTTCTTCATTAGCTGTGATGCTAGTCTAGACACCCTTGATCAGGGTAATGAAGTTCCCTTCTATTCCCAGTTTGATGAGAGCCTTTTCATTATTATGAATGGATTGGGATTTTGTCAAATACTTTTTTTGGACATAGGAGATGGTCATATGTATTTTTTCTGTGGTTTATTAACGTAATGAATTGCAGTGATCAATTTTTGGATGTTGCAGTAGTGTTGAATTCTTGGGTAAACCTGACTTGTGGTGCCATTTTGCCCTGTTTGTATTGCTGGATTCCATTTGCTAATATCTGATAGAGGATGTTTGTGTCTATGTTCATGATGGATATCATCTGTAGTTTTCTCGAGATGTCTGGTTTTTGTATTGGGGTGATGCTGAACTTATAAATGAGTTGTCAATTTTCAATTTTATTTTATTTTTTTTAAAGATTTTTAAAATTTCATTCATGAGAGAGAGAGAGAGAGGCAGAGACACAGGCAGAGGGAGAAGCAGGCTCCATGCAGGGAGCCTGATGCGGGACTTGATCCAGGGACTCTAGGATCATGCCCTGGGCTGAAGGCAGGCACCAAACTGCTGAGCCACCCAGACGTCCCTTCAATTTTATTTTTAATTTTCTGACAGAGGTTGCAGAGAATTGGTATTCCATTTTTTTTTCTTAAATTGGTAGGATTTATCAGTGAAATCATTTGGGCCTAGATGTTCTTTGTTTTGTTTTGTTTTTATTGTTGGAATAGATATAGGACCAAACAGTTGCTCTCTTGAGTGCGTTTGGTAGTTTGTGTCTTTCAAGGAATTGGTCTATTTCATCTAAAATGTTGGATTTGTGGGAATAGTATAATGTCTCAGTCTGCTCAGGTACCACGACCAAATACCACAGGCTGTGCTTGAACAACAGACATTGGTTTCTCGTGGTTGTGAAGGCTGGAAGTTCAAGATCTGGGCACCTGCTTGTTGGTTCTGCAAGTTCCTCAGTGGACTCTGAAACTGGCCCCTGTCAGGGAGAGACCAAGAAAGACACGGCCACTCCAGCTTGGTAGGTGACAGTGTTGTTTTTGTTGTTTTATTTTTTTTAAGATTTTAAAATTTTATTTATTTAAGAGTGAGAGAGAAACTATGAGTGAGGGATGGGGTGCAGAGGGAGAAGGAGAAGCAGATTCCTCAGTGAGCAGGGAGCCTGACTCCAGGCTCGATCATAGGACACCGGGATCATGACCTGAGCTGAAGGAAGATGGTTCACCCACTGGGCCACCCAGGCACCCTGATAGGTGACAGTCTTAATAACGAAAGAGAAATGATATACAAAGGTTTGTCTTAGGAGGAAGAAAGATGAGTGGATCCTGTACCCACTGGCCATATCTTAAAAGTTTATGAAGAGGCCTCAACTAGGTTCAGTCACATATATCATGCACATGTTTTCAACATCACATCCTGGTCTCAAGCTGTGTCCTTGGAGCAGCTGTTGGGAGCAGGAAGTGTGAGCCAGCACACATCCAAGGAGGGGGACGGAGGGAGGAGCTTCCTAGTACCTGAGTACAGCTCACAGGTCAACTGGCGGTCATGTCGTCTCAATGACTGTTCCTAAGACCACTGAGTGAGTTTCCAGTGAGAGAGCTCTCTTCTTGGTTTGCAGTGACTCTACACATGGTGAAGAGAGAGCCCTGGTGTCTCTTCCTCTTCTTATAAGGGCAGCAGTTCTGATAGATCAGGGCTCTGCTTTCATGACCTTAATCACTCCCATAAAGGCCCCACCTTCAGTGGAGGGTTAGGGCTTCAACATGTGGATTTGGGGGACACAAGTAAGTTCACAGTTATATACTCTTTTCTTCTTTATAATTTCTGTGGGATCTGTAGTGATGACCCCTCTTTCATTCCTGATATTGGTCATTTATATCTTCTCTATTTCTTGATCGCTCTGGCTGGAGGTTTATCAATTTTGTTGATCTTTTCATAGAACCAACTTTTGGTTCATTGATTTTTCTCTGTTTTAAGTTTTTCATTGATTTTTTTCCTTCTTTCTTATTTCTATCCTTCTGCTTGATTTGTATTTATTTTCTTTTTCTAGTTACTTAAAGTAGAAGCTTAAATTATTTGAGATATCTTCTTTTTTTTCTAATATAAATGCTTAATAATATCAGTTTCCATCAAAGTATTGCTCAGCTGTGTCCCACAAAATCTGATATGTTGTTTTCATTTTCATTAAATTCAAAATACTTTAAATTTCTTTGAGACTTTCTCTTTGACCCGTGGTTATTTAGAAGTGGGTTGCTTTCCAAATATCTGGGCATTTTCCATATATCTTTCTAGTTTAATCCCATCATTGTCACAGAACATATTTCATATGATTTCTATTCTGTTAAATTTGTTCAGGATTGTTTTAAGTCCCAGAATTTGGTCTATCTTGATGAATGTTCCATGTGCAAAGAATGCATATTCTGCTGTTGTTGAGTGGAGTGTTCTATAAATGTCAATCATTTCAGGTCTGTTATTGTTTCTAAATCCTTCCTGATTTTTGGTTTACTTTTTGTATTGATTACTGAGAAAGGAATGTTGTTGTTCTTGGTTATATTCCTTCTTCTCAAGTCTACTTTGTCTGATACTCATATAACTACCCCTGCTTCTCTTGATTACTGTTTGCATGGCATACGTTCTCCTGTCCATTTACTTTACCTACTTATGTCTTTATATTCAAAGTGTGTTTCTTATATTTAAACACGTTCATGACATGGTTCCAGTATTTTCCTGGCTCTTCACACACAGGGTGGATGCTGTGTGTTGGGGCTCACCTCCATTTGAGGCCAGGTGAGGGCTCCTAGCCTTTGCTCCAAGTCTGTTGGCCCAGTGCCTGGCAATGAGTGGTCACTGCACACTGGTCTGCAGGATGTGGTGAGGGCTCAGACATCCTCGCTGCTTGGAAATATCAAGATTTTGATGCTATCCCCAAGGTGATGGGTGAGCTGACCAGTCTCAGGGCACAGATCCTGGGCTTCTCCTTGGGGACCTCCTCTTGTGTGCAGGCGCCATGTCCAGCTCTGCTGGTAGAGTCTGGTGGGTATGTGCAGCTGTGAGTTAGTGGCTAACATAGAAGTCCAGCACTATGGAGTTGAGTGGGAGATTTTACATACAAAAGAGGAAGCCTGTTGGCTCAGAAGTACAGAGCCATAGGGGAGGGTTGGGAAGAGGAAGAACACCCACCACAAACACCACCAAGAGAGGATGCACGCAGCTCCTGCGAGGAACAGCCCAGCCCAGTCAGAGCCCTGACACAACAAACTGCTCCTTGGTACCTGAGTGTATGTCCTGCTCATGGATGCCCATGGAATGGCTTCTGATTTCTGCGGGCAGGCTCAGGATATTTACTCAGGTGTAAGCGCTCTGAGCCAGGTGCAGGAGCACAGGGCTGTTCTCTGTACGAGTGTGGTGACTGAGGTCCTCAGGCCAGGCTTGGGGACCGTGATGCTGCTGGTCAAAGGGGAGATGTCACGGCCAAGGCTGTGTGTCCTCACTGAGCCCTTCAGCATCTTTCTGCTGAGGGAAATAGGGTTTGAGTGGTTCACACTCACTGGCAGGCTTTGTGCTGGAAGTGCCCTGGGACATCTTATTCAGTGGGTGCTGGAGGAGGGGGACCCGGCATGGGGTCAGTGTTGACTCCTTGATGAGGCATGCAGGTATGGGCCCTCTTCAACATAAACAACTTTATGCCTCCTTTCTCTTTTAGGGCCAGAGATGATGATTCCACCAGGGGAATGCATGTATGCTGGAAGGAAAAGAAGGAAGCCCATTCAGAAACAGTAAAGTATCATGTCTTCTGTTTTTGCTGATTGTTACTGTTGAGGGGGAAGGTATTTGCGTTTTCGTTGAAAGAAGCGAATCTGAGGAACAAAGTGAGTGAGGGGGAGGATTTGCTGAGTCTTCCTGATGGGTAGAGGGACTTGAAGCAACAGCGGCAGAACCAGGCTGGCAGGCTGCGCAGCTGGGAAGCCACTGCTGCCTTTCTTAGTGGGTTTGGGCTGCTTTCCTAACTTTGATTAGAAAATGAGTTTAGAGCCGAGTGACACCTTTTGGCCAGAAGTCAGCGTGGGGGCCTGAGACATCACTGTGACTGTTAGTGAGCACCAGCTCCCCTCTCTGCCCTGGTGAAAGCCTGTCCTCACCAGGACACACCCACAGCCCATGTGTGAGCTTTGCCACAGGTGAAGGACACAGGGCAAGCTTTGTCCCCTGCCCATGGGCCTCTCCGAGGTTTGCAGAGTAGGGAGGGGAACCTGTAGTCCTAGTGCCCTAGACACAACGTCACTGCTCACAGTCCCTCTACTGGCCCAGTGGCGTTTAGGACACGGAGGTGTGAAGTCTGCAGTGGTGGCAGGAATTATGGGGCGTGGGGCTGCCTCTGGTCCTCCCGTGGGGAGGGTCTTGCAGCATATCCACTGTTGACTGGGGTTCTGTGTGTGTGACACAGCTCTGAGTGTGGGCATGTGCACTCAAAGCTCTCTGCAGTGGTGGCTGCACGTGGGCCTGTGTTTCTGTGACCCAGGCTGCCCTCCTGGCTTCTGGTGGCGGCAGGATGGTGTGAGAGGTCTGCAGGGATGCAAGCCACCACCACCTGAGGTTAGGCAGCAAAGGTTTGAGAGGCTGGACTTTGGGAAATGGGTCTGTCACCTGAGCAGCCTCCCAGCTGCGGAGGTGAAGAGTGGGGCTAAGGCAGCCGAGTGCACCCCTGACAAGGTGGAGGAGTTGGGTGTTTCCATGGCCGGGTCTAGGATGGTGGTGGAACAGAGTCCTGCTTGTGTGCGCTGGCCAGGAGTCATCCTGGTGAACATGTGTGCCGGCATGTTGGGTAAGGACAGAAAATCCTCCCAGCACATGCGTGTACCATGTTCCATGTGCTGGGCCATCTGGGGCAGGGGAGCTTTCCTGCTTTTGTTATGTTTTTGTTCCAATAACAGGGTCTGAGATAATGAGTCTTTGAGGCATGTATTAGGAAGTCATTCATTTTACTTGATATTTTAAAGAGGTCTCGTGTTCATCTGATCCAAAACTCAGACCCTCAGCAGGTGCCTCCTGCCCAGTCACCGGCACTGACGTGAGTAGTTTTTTGCAAGCCTGTCCCAAGAGTCTCCTGTATAAAGCAGCACGTACAGCCGCACAGTGTGCAAGCTTCCTCCGTTTGTTCAGGGTGATGGCGTCGGCACAGTCGTCCTTCCATGTGGGTGTACACCCGTGCCTGCCCTGTGGCACCTGCATAGACTGTTTCACTGACGCTGAGAACCTCCGCCTCATTTTGCACGCATGCTCACAATCAGGTGGTAGTCTGCGATGGGTGCCACACAGCCTGGTGTGTTCCCGTTGGCACCACCCTTACCAGGGCAGCCTCTCAGGGTTGTGTTTGGAGTGAGCAAACTTGAGGAAACGGGACTCTCCCAGCTGAGGCCTCAGCTGCAACCCCCCCATGGCAGTACCTGCCTGGGGCCCATCTGTGTCACTCCCATGGGACTTGGGGACGTGGTAAATGACCCAGACACACTGAGGGGCATGCTGTCCGCTGTGCAGTGAGTAATGAACCCTTTGTCCATGACCTGGGACACGCATGCCTGCCACCAGCACCCATGGAGCAAGAAGCAGAATCAAGTGCTGCCCAGCAGCTCGCTTTCCTGGAAGGGGGGGCTCTCTGTCCACAAGCCAGAACCGGGGATCGTGAGGGGCGCCCCCACCGGGCTGCCAGGTGCTCTGGGCTTGTTCGTCCCTGCTCATCTCTCCTTTCTGCCCTGGGCACACGGTGCTTTTCAGACTTTGGTCACTGGAATTTGCATTCTTCTCATAAGTCAGGTTAAAACACCACCTGGATTTCCTTGAATCTTTGGAGCAGTTGTGTACTGGAGACACTAGTTCTTCAGTGTGTTTCCAACACATCCCTACAGTTTTGATTGTACTTAGTGTGTTCTTTGCTATGCACAAAAGTTAATTTTTATGAGGTAGGACTTATTAATCTTTTCCCTTGTGACTGATTAATGTTACGTGGAAGTTTGGAAGATCTCCCTGCTATAAGCTTATGAGGGAATTTTCAGTATTTTCTCTACATTTTTATGGGTCCCTAATACATGTTTTAAATTTTCAAGCACTTGGAATTTTTCCTGGTTTGTGGTCAGGGTCTGAATCTGCCTCTTTTCACGTGACGGCTGCTTGCTCCCAATGCTGCCAACAATCGGTTTCTTCCCCGCGGCTTTGAAAGGGTCTTGGGCATTTAAGCCTGGGGGACATTTAAGTTGGGGGTCGGCGATGTGAGACCGTGGGGTAGCTCCAAGTCCACCTGGCTCCTAGCATGTCTGTGTGTCCTGACAGCTGCTGTGTCTGTCTGCTCCGGGGGGCTGCCAGGTGTGTGCTTGTTAGCACAATGCCTCTCTCGGGACCCGTTCTAGGGAAACTGGAGGTCAGAGATTTGTTTTTGATGTCTGAGTGCAGGGTACCCATGCCCACCACCCCTCCTGGATATGAGCCAGCATCCCTGCCCGCTCTGGTTGCGCCAGCTGCTCCGTGGCCTGTTTGTTGCCGTGCCGTGCCCGAGGGCTCTGGGGCTGTTGTCGGCCCCGTCCTGTGGTCTGTGCGAGTCTGTCTTCTCTCCTGTAAGGGGTCAGTGATGAAAACTGTGGAGCGTGGGATGGATGGAGGAGATGCATGGGGCCGCATCCTGGGGGCCTCGTCCCGGGGGCCTCGTCCTGGGGGCCTGGTCCTGGGGGCCTCGTCCCGGGGGCCTGGGCCTGGGGGCCTGGGCCTGGGGACCTGGGCCTGGGGGCCTTGTCCTGGAGGCCTGGGCCTGGGGGCCTGGTCCTGAGGTCTCGTCCTGGAGGCCTGGCCCTGGCGGGCTGTGGGCCATGGGCGGCCAGCCGGAGCCTTCTCCCCGTGGTGCCTGGAAATGCTCTTGTGCACTCTTACCCACCTATGCTGTGGCGTCAGCCCCGTGGGTCCGATTGCTCTCTGGGGCTGGCGCTGTGAGGTCCCGGAGCTGTTTGTTGCTTGTACTTTTCTCCTGTTGGGCTGTGACTGAAGGAGATGGAGCTGTGCGTATGTAGACGCGGTGTGGTCATCACAGTAACCAACACAGGGTCATACCACAGTGCACTCGGCACAGGCTGTGCCTGCCTTCACTACCATCCAGGCAGTCCTGAGGTGCTCTGTCCTGCAGCCTGCCTTGCGTTTTCAGAAATTTTTTTTTTTCACTTTTGGAATTTTCTATGACTGGAATCACACACCATCGTGTTGGGCTTCCTTCCCTCAGCAGGATCTTGAGATTCATCCACAGCTTGTGTGTGTGGAGGGAGGGCCTGTTTACCGCCAAGCGGCACTGCCATGTTGGAGGCACCGCTCTGTCTTCTCACCAGCAGATGGATGTTCAGGTGCTTCCAGGTTTGGGCCTGGAAGCTGCCGTGAACGTCTACATACAAGTCTTCGTGTGGATGTGTTTCCATTTCTCTTGGGTAAATGCCCAGGGGTGGGATTTCTGACATCCTCGGCAGATGCGAATTGACTTTTAGGAAACCACCAAGCAGCTGTGCCATCTCGCGTCCCAGGCACTTGGGGGCTGGGGCTGCTCGGCCTCCCAGGCTCTCGTCTGCCCTTCCCTAGTGGTGCTGGCACCTGTTCGTGTGCCAGTTTGCCATCCGCAGATCTTCTCTGGTGAAGGGTCTGTTTATGTAATTTGCCTTTTTTCTTATTGGGTTGTTTATCTTCTTATTGAATCGTAAACCTTCTTTATGTATTCAGGGTACAAGCTCTTAGGCACATTTCCCGCCAATCTATGGTTTCCTTTTTCATTTTGTTGTCTTTTTTTTCTTTTCTTTTTTTTTTTTTAAGTAATCTCAATGTGTGACGTGGGGTTGAGCTAAGATCAAGCCTTGCATGTCCACTGACTGAGCCAGCCAGGTGCCCCCTTTTCATGCTCTTAATGGTGATTTCCAAAAGACATGAAAAAATGTTGATGAAGATAATTTTTTTCTTTTATGATTTTGAGTGTGTGAGTCTTCTAAGCATCCTGGGATTATCCCAAGGTCTCAAAGATTTCTCTTGTATTTTCCTGCAGATTTAGGTCTATGACCCACTTTGAGTTCTTTTGGGGGTTGTGTGAGGTGAGGGCTGGTGTTCACTTGTCTCCGTGGGTGTCCAGTAGACCAGCCCCATTTACTGAAAGGACTTTCTTTCTGTATTCAATTGCTGTAATATCTTTGTCAAAGGAATTGGATTTATTTCTAGACGTCCTGCTCTGGTCCTTTTTTCTATATGTCTATCTTCTCTGTAGTAGCAAACCATCTTGAATATTGCAGATTTATAAAAAGATGAAAATTAAAAGGATAAGTTCTCTCTAATTGTGTATTTTAATTGGCTATTCCTGGTTCTTTGTATTTCCATGTAAATTTAGAACCATCTTGCCAGTTTCTGTGAAAAGTACTGCTGGGATTTTGATTGTGATGACATTGAATGTAGAGCTCAGTGCGGGGAGCATTGCCAGGTTTGCTGCAGGTCTTTTACATTTTGGGCTCAGGGCTCCCCTGCATCTGAGCTGTGGCTCTTCTGGCCTTGCTCCCATGCTCATGCTCGTGGTGCCGGCCTCTTGTCCCGCCTCACCTCCCGCTCATCCACCCCGGTACTTGCAGCTGCCTGCACAGGCTGTCTGCCCCCACCCTCCTCACGCCCCTGGGCAAGAAGTGGGACGATTCCTGCTCTGGTCTGTGGGGCTGCGGACAGGGCTCATAGAACCTCTGAAGGAGCTCTTCTGGTGCCCGATTCTCTGGCAGGCCTCTGGGAGCCAGCTCACTCTCAGGTACAGGCTGTCTGGGGGCAGGTGGGGCCGCCTGCCCATCTCCCACTGTGTCCCCTTCTCTGACCCTCACACCCATACTGGGCACTGCCTGTGGGCCTTTCCCTAACGTGAAGGGCCTCCCCTCCCGCCAGCCAACGCCAGCCACACTGGAGCTGCTCAATGTATCCCCAGGCCTCCTGCAGGTTTAAATGTTGGCTGGCAGTGTGAGCAATTTGGGGGCAAGTGACTCATTAACCAAGGACACCAGCAGAAGGTGACAAGGGTGAGATACTTGTGAATTGCATACCTGGTAAAGGCCTTGGATCTGCAATATGAAGGACTCTCGGGACTCCACACTAAAAAGACAAATAACCCCATGAAGAAATAGGCAAAGGACTCGGGTAGACATTTCTCCAAAGAAGACACATAGATGGCTGACAAGCCTGTGAAAAGATGCCCCTCGTTATTGGTCGTGAAGGAAATTCAGATCAAACCACGGTGATGTTTGATCCTCCCTCCACTGCAAATGGCTGTTCTTTGGGAAAAGGAAAATAATGTGTCAACTAGGATGTGAGCCACGGAACCCTCACGCATTGCGGGTAGAGGGAGCATGTTGGCAGGTGCGACTGTGGCGGCACAGAGTCTGTCAGGTCCTCCGAAGGTGAAGCATGATGACCCTGCTGACCCTGCTGTCCACTGCTGGGCATGTGCCAGAGAGAACTGGAAACTAGGTTCGCACAAAGTTTTAGGCTGGAGTGTTTACTGCAGCATCGTGTACAGTGTCCAGGCGGCTGCCCGCTGGGGAACAGCTGAGTGCAGCGTGTCCATCCACATAGTGGAGCACTTGTCACCTGAAAACAGGAGCCGAGTCCTGATCACCACAGGTGCATCTTGAAGACATGACCTTATGTGGGAGAAGCCTGATGCGAAGACTCACATGGTAGAATTCCGCATGGATGAAATGTCTAGAACAGTGAGTCCATGGAGACCTAGGACAGCTTGTGGTTGCCAGGGGCTGGTGGCAGGATCAACGGGGAGAAACTGGAAGATGGGTCCAGGGTTTTATTTGGGATGATGAAATGGTTGGGAACTTGATAGACACGTGGCTACATGGCACCATGAGCGTACATTTTAAAATGGCCAGTGTTATGAGAAAAAACAAAGACCAAGAGCAAGACATGGCATCTGGGACTGGGGGCTTCTGTTGGTCCTCGGAGGCCTGGGCTACAGACTCTGCAGAGCAGGGCTGTGCCACCGTCTCTCCCAGACACGCGGGCCACCAGACCTCCTGGTACTTGTGAACGAAAACTGGAACTTCTAGACAAGAGAGACACCCCTCGCCCCTAAAAGCAGTAGGTGCTGTGACTCCAGGGAAGGGGCCTCTGGGAGCCAGGCGACCCTATTGCAGAGCTTGCCAGCGGCCCCTCCTGTGCGGCTACCCCCACCCCCCTTGCTGGCTGCCACTGTAGGTTCAGATGCTTTTATGTGGATGATACTTCCAAAGGGCCTCTAAGGAGCTGGGGACGGGAGGGGTAGGGGAGGGTAGGGCCGGGGAGGGCCGCCTCTGGGCACAGCTGGGATCTACATCAGCTTCACCCCGCGCAAGGATGCTGATGGGAAAGCATCCTTCCCTGGATGGGAAGGGGCACCCGGTTGTGGGGGAGAGCAGTTCCTTGCGGACCTCCCGTCTCACTGCAGCACAGCCCAGGGCCTCTGGGCCTCCAAGGGGACGTCCAGGCCTCTCTCCTCAGCCCCTTTCAGCCTTGCTCTGTGGAGGAGAAACTGAGCCCAGAGGGGCCAGTCCTGTGTTTGAAACCAGCCTGAAGCAGGCTGAGCATGTGCAGCCTGGGCCGGGGCTCCCCCTCCCACTCGGGGGAAAGTCAGCATGGAGAGGTCGAGAAATGTGCCGGAGCCGCACAGCTTGCTCCAGCTGTGCTCCCTGGAGGCCTGCTCTCAGTTTCTAAGCACCCTTCCGGGTCATGGGTCCCTGCTTCCTTGGGCTCAAGATCCGGAGACTCTTGTCCCTTTCAGCACCATTTTTCTTTAGAAGCTGATGGCACGGTAAGGTCACTTCTGGGGACAGGTTTACCCCCCACGGGTGACGGGCCCTGGGGGGACTCTGACTGTGGCTGCTTCCCCGCAGGAGGCCTGCCACGGGGGCCGAGAAGTCAAACCCGTCCAAGCGGCACCGCGACCGCCTCAACGCTGAGCTGGACCACCTGGCCAGCCTGCTGCCACTTCCTCCTGACATCGTATCTAAGCTGGACAAGCTTTCTGTCCTGCGTCTCAGCGTCAGCTACCTCAGGGTGAAGAGCTTCTTCCAAGGTAGGACTCACCTGTGCCCATGTGTGCCTGGCTGGGTGTCAGCTGTGCCCACTTAGGTCCCACCCTCCTTTGCTGGATGGGCTAGTTTGTACCTCCTGTGTCGGGGAGTCAGAGGAGTAGCCACTGAGTTCTGATGAAGCCGAGAGGCTGTGTGAAGGGCAGCAGTTGGGCCTCCCCTGCTTGGCTCCCTCCCAGCCTCAGAGGCCCAGGGAGGTCTGCCTCTGGGGGAGCAGGGCCGCGGCTGAGCTCGGGAGGCCAGGGGCCCCTATTAGCAGGTGTAACTGTTGGTGGCCAACCTCTGTGTGCCCTGGGGGTGCTGTAACCCTGGCCAGGCCCAGCCCCAGCCCCACTGCACGAGGGCTCCCTGGCCTCTCCAACTGTCACGGTGGCTATGGGTGGCTGTGGGTGGCTGCTCTCCTACATCTGATGCTCTGGGCCAGGACTTGCTGTCCATGTGGCCGGGTCAGCTCCTGAGAAAGAAGTGTGGCTGTCCCCACCCTGTATCAGAGTCTGTGAGCCTGTGACTGTTGCCATCATCCCTAGTTAAGTCCTAACTTCTCACAAAATCATGACTTCCCATGTGTATTTGGAGTGAGTAGAAGAAAGCACAAAGGGGCAGATATGGCCTAGTGATTGTGGGGCTACGGTGAACAGCAGAGGCCGTGCTCCCCCTCAGGCCTTGGGGTTTGCTTCTGCACATCTTCACACTGCTCAACGAAGTGCCCCCGATGTCCCGTCACGGAAAGGCCACCCACTCTTGAGGGGAGGCCGAGGGCCCTGTGCTGCATGGCCCTCAGGTCTCCTGAGCCAGGCATGGTCCTGGGGTGGGTGCCCAAGGCATCGGCCATGCCTAGAACCCTCTAGGGCATCCGCTTCCCTGGGTCCTCAAGCCCCCCACTGCTACTGCCTCGCCTGTTCCCGGCAGGCCTGTGAGATGTGACAGGCTCAGCCCAGGTCAGTCTTCACTAAATGACACACTTCCTTTGTGTTAGAAGGGTACTCTCCAGGTTCCATACCCAATATCTATGGCTGGTGGCGACATTGCAACTACTGCAGAAGTGGTCCAGAAGGTGGCAGGGATGGTGGGGCCGGGGGCTGCACTGGCTCCCAGTGGAGGTGGCCAGGAGGGTCCCTGGGCTGGAGGGCTTCCTGGAGGAGGCAAGGGGCAGGTGCTGTCTGCAGGCTGTCTGAGAGTTTGGCCCGGAGCCGCTACAGTCCTGTTTCTTGAGTGGAGCCCCTGGGTCTGGGCCTCTTCCCAGTAGCAGCTGGTACCCTGGCTCTCAGGGGACAGTGCCTTCCCCCAGCCTGGACCATGTCCCGCCAGCTCCATCCTCCAGGACAGCTGTATGCGGTGCACATTTCTGTTCCCCAGCCTCCAGGCCACAGGCTTCTTGTCCTCTCACTGTCCACAACCGCCCACATCCCCCTCACCGTCCCAACCCCCTCACAACCCCTCACCGTCCACATCCCCCCACGTCCCTCTCACCGTCCATGTCCCCTATGTCCCCTCTCACCATCTGCATCCCCCCACGTCACCCCACATCTCTCCTCACCGTCCGTGTCCCCCCACATCCCCTCTCACCATCTGTGTCCTCCCATGTCCCCTACATTCCCCCAGGTCCACTCTCACTGTCCAAGTCCCCTCACTTCCTCTCTCACTGTCCACGTCCCCCCACGTCCCCTCTAACCTTCCCTGTCCCCCCATGTCCCCCTCACCGTCCTCGTCCCTCCCATGTCCCCCTCACTGTCCTTATCCCCCCACATCCCCCTCACCATCCCCATCCCCCCATGTCCCCCTCACTGTCCTCATCCTCCATGTCCCCCTCGCTGTCCCCATCCCCCTCACTGTCCCCCCAGGTCCCCTTCACTGTCCCCAACCCCTCCACATCCCCCTCGCCGTCCACATCCCCCCCACATGTCCTCTCACCCTCCGTGTCCCCCCTATATCCCCCTTCACTGTCTGTGTCCCCCCCACATCCTCCCTCACTATCCGCGGCCCCCACATCCCCTCTCACCATCCCCATCCTTGATGTCTGCCCTCACCATCCCCATCCCCCCACGTCCCCTCCACTGTCTGCATCCCCCCACATCCCCCCAACTGCCCACGTCTCCCCCACATCCCCCCTCACCTTCCCCCCAACCGTCCTCGTCCTCCCACGTCCCCCTCACTGTCCCCATCCCCCCCACATCTCCCCTCACCATCTGCGTCCCCCCCATATCCCCTCACGGTCCCCGTCCCCCTCATGGTCCCCGTCCCCCCATACCCCCCTCACTGTCTGTGTCCCCCCACTTCCCCCTCACCGTCCTCATGCTCCCATGTCCCCCTCACTGCCCCCATCCCCCCATGTCCCCCTCACGGTCCCCATCCCCCCATGTCCCCACTCACCGTCCACGTCCCCCCCACGTCCCCCTCACCATCCTCATCCTCCCACATCCCCCTCTCTGTCCCTGTCCCCCCACATCCCCCTCACTGTCCTCGTCGTCCCACATCCCCCTCACTGTCCCCATCCCACGTCCCCCTCACCATCCCCGTCCCCATCCCCCCACATCCCCCTCACCGTCCTTGTCCTCCCACATCCCCCTCACCATCCCCATCCCCCCACATCCCCCTCACCGTCCGCATCCCCCCACATCCCCTACATTCCCCCACGTCCACCCACTGTCCATGTCCCCTCACTTCCTCTCTCACCATCCCTTTCTCCCCATGTCCCCTCTCACCTTCCCCATTCCCCCCACATTCCCCTCACCGTCCGCGTCGCTCCCACATCCTCTCCACCACCTGCATCCCCCACATGTCCCCCCTCACTGTCTGCATCCCCCCACGTCGCCTCTTACCTTCCCCATCCTCCCCATTGTCCCCATCCCCCCACGTCCTCCCCTCACTGTCCATGTCCCCCAACATCCCCTCTCACCATCTGCATCCCCCCACGTCCCCTACATTCCCTGTCAGCTATCACTGTCCACATCCCCTTACTTCCTCTCTCACTGTCCCTGTCCCAGGTGTCCCCTCTCACTGTTCCCATCCCCCCATGTCTCCTCTCACCTTCCCTGTCCCCCTCACTGTCCCCATTCCCCCACATCTCCCCTCACCTTCCATGTCCCTCCACATCCCTCTCACCATCCACATCCCCCCATGTCCCCTCTCACCGTCCATGTCCCCCCATGTCCCCTCTCACAGTCCACATCCCCCCATGTCCCCTCTCACCATCCACATCCCCCCATGTCCCCTCTCATCATCCACATCCCCCCACATCCTCTCTCACCGTCTGCGACCCCCCCAAATCCCTGTCACCATCCCTGTCCTCCTCCATGTGTGCATGTTGTCTCAGTGTCCACATCTGGTCATGCCGTCTCTTGCTGGTGCTCAAGTATTATAGGTGTTGGGGCCTGATGACCTTGGGACCTTGGGTCTCCGAAGGGCCAGGAAATCCCACAGATGAAAAGGGGTGTCTACACGGGTCCTGAGGGTATGGTGTCCTTCCTGTCCATGTTCTGAGCAGAAACTGAGAATAACATCCCCTCAGGGGATTCAAAATACTTTTAGAATGAAAAATCAGCAGTGGAGCCTCCGTGTGGGGTTGGGGCTGTGTCGTGTTAGGCCAGCCTTAGGCTCAGTGTTGGGGGGCATCACGGAGACCCATGGGGGACTGTCCAGATCTCTGCCGGCCCCCCCTCGTGTCCTCTCAGGGAGGCTGCGTGCCCATGCCTGGGACCGCTTGGCGGTCACTCTGAGCCCCGGGGTGTTGAGGTCCATTTACTGGAGTGACTCAGAACATTTTGGAAACTGCAGGACGAGGGTGTTTTCCCAGGTTTGTGATGTGATGAGGGAATTGAACCAGTCATCCTGACTGTGGTGGAGAACGGGGGCATGGGGGCCAGGACGCACAGAGGATGAGTCTCCCAGCTGGCCTTCGTGAAGCACCCCTGCTCTGATTGGCCGCCATGGCTCTGCCGCGGCCTGTCTGGTCGGCTCAGGCCAGGCATGGGGCTGCCCGGTTGGGGCTGGCGATTCACCTGCCCCTCCTGATGTGCCCTTGCTGACCTGACCTCCTGGCTGGGCAGTTGGGAGGGGACCAGGTCCCTCCCTGGACGGATCCAGCCATGCCCGGCCAGGGGTCTGGTCTCAGCAAGGCTCCAGGGTACTGTGTCCGAGAGTTCAGGCCGCTGTCCGAGTGTCTGCCCGAGGCCCACCTCCTCTGAGCCAGGAGCCCGCGATGTCTCGGTCCGCACGCCTCCTGCTGGTGCAGGTGGACGCCCTTCGCGTAGGCCGGGCCTTCAGAGGCACCCTGGTCTTGCGGCGGGTCGCCAGTCAGAGCTCACCACTGTGTGGAGGCCGTGGCTCAGCGTCAGAACAAACCTGAGTTCTTTGCCTCGCCTTCTCCACCAGGGATTCTAGAGTGTGATGTCTCCAGCTGTACATTTTAGAGGAAGTTCTAAAAACTTCCTTGAATTCAGCTCCACTGTGTCATTGTAAAAAAGTCAGGCTACAGAAATTGGATCTTAATCTGTGCTTCCTGCCTCAGAAATAGATGAACTAATTTCATTAAAGCTTCCATAAAATGGCACCTCTGGGAAGCATTGGCCTGGAAGATTTTAGCTCAAAGGGTAATAATGCCTGGAAATTTGCCTATAATATTTAGTTTAGTGTTGGTTTTCAAGGATTTTCAAAAGGCAGCAGGGTTTTTAGTTTTATTTACATTGTCTTCGCATTGGTAACAGGCCACCAACCCTTCCGTCCACACACAGTTGGGATTTCACTGTTGACCCGTGGGGGCTGGGCAGAGTAGAGCCGGATCCCCCTGGATGGGGGCCCAGGAAGCCCCAGCGCCCCCTCACTGATGCCCTGTGGCCAGTCCAGGCCTCTTCCCAGGCAGCAGCTCTGCCATGTGGGCCCCTGTGGGACACTTGCTAGCTGCAGGGACAGGCGCCCATGGTGGAGAACCACCGCTCACAGGTGACAGTGGGCCCCAGGTCCACCCACTGCGGGGCCCTGATGCTGA